CCTTTACCTGACCTCTTCCCTTGCTCTGTACCCCACCCAACCTCTGCCCTCCCTCCGCCTGGCTTCACCCTGCCGTCTTTCCCCTTCCTCCCGGCCTCCTTCCACTTCCTCCTCTTCCTCTTCACGCTTTTTCCCATGCTCGTCTCCCCCTTACCTCTTCCCTTCCTCCATACGTCACTCAACCTCTGAACTATGTTCTGGTTTCTGTCCTCCCTTCGCCCTACTTCTCCCTGCCGCCTCCCTTTTCTCCCGGCCTCCTCTGGACCTTCTCTTAAACCTCCCTCTGCCCTCCCTCGCCTGGCCACCTGACTCCCTTTCCTTCGCCCAATTTCCGCCTGATCTCCTTCCCTCTATCTCCTCCGTCCTACTCCTTCCTCCGCCCGATTTGCACTCACCTCCTTCCCCCAATCTCCTTCCTCCCCTTCCTTCCTTGGCCCGGTCTCCACCTGACCTCCTGCTTCCGCCCTACTCTCTGCCGCCTTTCCCCTCCCTACAGGCCTCCTCCACACCTTCTCTTCAACCTCCCTCTGGCCTCCGTCCGCCTGACCACGTCATTCCCCTTCGCTGGCCCCCTTTGTTTGCCTGATCTCTGTCTGACCTCCTTCCCTCGATCTCCTCCCTCCCCTTCCTTCCTCAGCCCAATCACCACCTGACCTCCTACTTCCATTCCTCCCTCCGTCCTACTCCCTACCTCCCCCTTCCTCCCTCGACCGGCCGCCCTTCCTTCGTAACGCCCGACGTAAGAAATACTTCTTTTCCTTTATCCTTGGACGTAAAGCGTCGTTTGTTATCAAGATCGCTCCATTTCTTTTAAGATCTCAACACTGTTGCACACGCGCAAGAAGGAGAGAGGGAAAGCAGGAGAGAGAAAAACGCATTTCACCCAACACACTTCCTTCCTCGCACCTTCTTTGTCCTTGTCTGTCTCTTTCAACCAATATAGGATGAGTATGTATGCAACGGAAGTCTGATAAATGGACTGACTCACATAGACTGACTCACATAGACTGACTCACATAGATATCACTCCACACACATACAATCGTGAGATGGTGGGGTCTGAGCCATACATGGACGATGCTCAGCCCTGTACACTGATACACAGATGAAAGGTGGGAGGAGAGACGAAGGAGGGGGGAGATGTAGGTAGCACCAGATGTCACCGAGATAGAAACCAGTAGGTCACCGATATGGTAATCCAAAATGTCATCGAATAAGATCAATTGTCGCGGACAATAAGTCACCAATGTCGGAGATACAGAGTCCTAATGCAACCGGTGTCCAATCTGTGATGCAGCCGAGTATCATCCCCAACAATCTCCAAGTCTCAAACCCGGTAAGTACCACAGCCTCTTACCACCGAAGTCCAACACTGATCTCTGTCCAACTAATATAAGTCTCCAGTCTGAAGAAGAAGAAGAAGAAGAAGAAGAAGAAGAAGAAGAAGAAGAAGAAGGGAGTCGAGGAGGAGAGAGAGAGAGAGGGGACTGGCGACGGGAGGGAGGAGAGATCCCCCGGCTCCCGATACCTCAGGCGGCTATGGCCGGCGATCTTGCTCAGTCGCCGCTGCTGCTCCTCGTGCTCCTGCGCGAAGTATAGCGCTAGCGCTCTGGCGCTAACCATAACGCACCGCTTAGAATGCCGGTGGTTCGATCCCGAACTGAGGCTGGACCGGTACTTTTGTACCGGTGGGGCAGAGGCCGGCCTCTATGCTGTGAGGCCTGGCCGTGCCCTGAACCGTCAAGATCGACGGTTCAGCTCCAACCGGCGGGCGGCAGCCTCAAGAGCGCCGCCAGGCCCAAACGGTAATGTCGTTTGGGCCTGCCCGTCGGGTCTGGTCCAAGATGAGGCCTTTACGGCCTGTAGTACCCCCAAGGTCGGGCCTTTAGGCCCTACTGTGTCCCTCTGTCCCTAAGTCGGGTCCGGTAGGACCCGTGTGGCGTCGAAGATGTAACAGCAACGCACCGGCCAAGAGGTAAGTCTCCAACCCCGC